AGTTTTCTGTGGCGGTCCGGCCAAAAACCTCCAAAAAAAAAGCGATGGTTTTTCAAGTGTCTAGGCTTCAAAAATTGTCGAAAAGTACTTGGTGCTTCCAAAACTGTGACCTCCTCCAGGGTTGCGCCTGATTCCCTGCTACCTTTCGTGCACCCGCTCCTCTCTCAAGTATAATATTAATAATATGAATTTAATATCCATGTGTACACCATGATTAAGGTTGTGTCTACCAGACACCTTTATTCTAGAAGCTTATCATCCTGAAACAAAAGCAAAACAAAAGACGCAAGAAACAAACAATCACAAAATGTTTGCTGAAGACCTACAAAGCCATCAAAATCCGACTATAGCGTTTTGCCTCGCCTGACACCTGCAGCCGTGTGACCTCACTACAGTAGCAGCCGAAAATGGCGCGAAATCAGAAAGCAAAAGCCAGCGCACCTTCACCCATGAAAAAAACAAAGAAGACCGCCGGAGAAATCAGCGCGATCAGAGATGAGGCTGCTCAAGATTAGTGTCCAAATGGTTGTGTCAATAAAACACTTTGTGTTTCACGAGATCAGTTTCCACACAACACTGTAAGATGTACAACGACTACCTTTTGATGTCTTGATTTCCAAACATTGACGCTTCCGCAGGCCAGAAGAATGACACAAAAACTGATCAAAAAGGCTAACACCTTCGAGCCAACGGACTGCCACATTGCGGTGTTTTTTGCTGCCATTGGGGGACGGGTTTGGGGAGGGTGTTGGATTGTTTTGGAGACTTGACGTGTGACTTTTGTCGTATGACTGCTGGAGACTTTAGTAGTAGTGCTCCACAAGGGTGTTCCACAAGATTGTCCAACCAGAGTGTCCCAAAAGAGTGTCCCACAAGAGTTTTTCGCAAGAGTGTCGGGCATGAGTGTCCCACAAAAGCTTCCTACAAGATTCTCACACAAGACTTGTCCACAACAGCTTCATGGCTGTGATGGCGAATCTTGCAGGAAATGGTTGACATCCTTCTATTATACTCAAAGCTGGCGATGTGGACGCCTGGCCCTCCTACATGTGGTCAGAAAGGCTCACAGAAGTCCTTGAGGCGCGTCCAGGCGGCTTCTCAGATGAGACCGACCCTTCATGTCCGGAGCTTCAAGAGTGGCCTCAAACCACGCGATTTGCAGGTTTTGTGTGGCGGAAAGGGTTTTTCGGCGCTTGGAGGCTTCAAAGTGGCACAAAACGACGGTACTTACACGGGCTCGTGCGGTTTCCTGGCACAACAGCGATGACTTTAAGCTATGCACGCTTCAAAGTGGCCACAAAACACCGTCAACTCCACTCTGGCGGGGGTCTTTGTCAACAGCTACAAAACACCGTCAATACCAGTGTTTTCAGCTCCTCGAGTTTGGAAAAGTGGCCTCAAACCACGCAATGGACAGGGTTTTCTGTGGCTGTCCGGCCAAAAACCTCTAAAAAACCGATGGTTTTTCAAGTGTCGAGGCTTCAAAAATGTTCGAAAAGTACTTGGTGCTTCGAAAAGTGTCTAGGCTTCAGTACTTGGTGCTTTGACTTAACTTTGATCCTCTAGCAAGGGCTTCTGTTCAACAGGGGGGGGCCCTGTCCTCCTCCAGGGTTACGCCTGATTCCCTGCTACCTTTCGTTCACCCCTCCTCTCTCAAGTGTTCTGGAAGAGATTTACATCCAAGCGTTTCAGTACAGTTAAACACTATGCCTTTCTTGTGTTATACTAATTACCAGGACCCTTCAAAGGTAGTCCCTGCAGACCAAAACCTGTCTCTTTGTTTCAAAGCACCAACACCTCCCTCAGACCAACAGTCAGACGCATGACTGCACGTGCGCGAGGATGACCCAGTTGGAGGACCTCAACATAGACCTGCGAAGTCAGGCCCTTTGGGGCGTGTGGTGTTCGCCGAACGGAGGAAGCAAGGAGTGTCGGCGTGCCCCGTCACATCCACCCACTGGATGGGACGAAGCAAACCAACCCGAGTTCGTTTGTGGAACTCCTGGGATAGTTCCTTTTTACAGCAAAAATATCACAACTAGGAGTCATAACTTGGGTTTGTCCGAACTTACCTGTAACAGTCGGTACGTAATTGAGTATGACTATTTTAGAGATGCCGGCATGCAGCCTAGCCATCATCATCCACTGTTTCTGGTAATAGGATAGACCCAAGTCAAAGCTAACTCGCCAATACACTGCAACATAGACGCTTACATAGTCTTGCTGCGTTCCAGCTAGCAATCCTTTGAAGGGACATGCTGTTGAGATGCTTGCAAAGAACTGGGTCGGAGGAAGTAGTGTGTTTGGCTCAGCAAACTTAGCATCTCTACTGATCCTTGGAGACCCGTTTTTTTGTCTTTTCTCTCTTCGAGATTTGAGAGTATGGATGTGTTTCTTCCGGAAATCATCCATATCATTGCATTTCACTGCGTATTCATGGTTGGAGGGCCGGTCGCAAGAGCAGACGCAGGGACGCAGGGACGCAACTGGTGCACCGGGGGACATGTCGGCGAAAGTGGCTGAATCAATTCATCAACGGTGAGCAGCCCGAAGTCTTGCAAAGAATTTGTGTTGCCAAGTCCAGTCAAGAAAGAAGTCGCCTTAAAGCAAGGCCCGAGTAGTTTTCTCAAATGGATGCCTCATTTCGCAAGATAAAGAAACTGAGGTGGAATCTTCAGAAGAATTGGCTGATCTTCTCAGAAAATTATGACATGCCATCATATGTCATATGCCATCGCTTGCAACGGCTCAAAATCTATATTTGTTGGCACTTGTTGGTGTGGATTTTTTGGGGTGGCAACAGTGACCCAAGGCTTTCACAATGGACTCGTTTTTTCCGCGCCGCCTTTGCCAGGCGGAAAAAGACAAGGACACCAAGCGCCATTGGGACATGGGGCCATACTACGGATGCCATGAGAGGTCTTGAAGGTTAGAACATGACCAAGATATACTCAGACATGCCTAAGAGTATAGATTATATGATGATAATATGGTTCTATATTATATATATATATTATATCGATTAATAGTTATATCAGTTATATATAGTATAGTATATGGTATAAATATGAAGACCCACTTCCCCCCACGGCATCCCTTTGAGACCGCCCCGGCTCCGCCCCGGCTCCGCCCCGGCTCCGGAGCGCCCACGCCGGAGTTCGGCGGAGTTCGGAGAGGAGCAGCTGGAGTCGGAGATCCAACGGTTGAAGGCAGAGATGGAGAAGGCGGGTGCCGGCAGAGGGGGGCCGGTGGTGGGTGGGATTTGAAGGTCCACATCATTTTGGAGGACGTGTGATCCATTGTTATCCCATCAAAAAAGGCCTTTTGACCTGACTCACCTTTGTTTCAGAGATCGAGAGAGCCATTCCCAGAGTCAAGTCCTTTTGGTTCAAATCCTCATGAAGGGTTATTTGTTTGCGGGTTTTTTCGCGCAGGTTGGTAGCTTGGTTGGGGGTTGTTTTCGTGGTTGTGTGGACCATAGCTCTAATATCCTTTTGAGCTTGGCGTGCTGTCCTGCAAGTTGTGTTTGTGCCTTGTACGATGCTAGCCACGTCATCCCTATTTCAGGTTCAAAGATGTTAGCCAAGCCATTCTGGTACCAGATGCCATGCATTTAGAGTGGGCCATCAGAGTAGAGTGTAGATACCCAAAGATGTCTTGAACAGACGGGGGCTCCATATAATCCAAACTTGGGGGATTGTGCCACCGAACCTCTGATGGCCCACTTTAGGTAAAGATAAGACCATTACAGTGGGTTCAGAGTAGATGGCACAATCCCCAAAGGTGTTTTATATGGACCCCCATGTACTGGTATGGTTTGTGCCATCTACTCTGATGGCCCACTGTAGCTGTTGCGATTAGCGTTTCTTTTCTCTCTCTCTCTCTCTCATCCCATGACGCAATGCGTATCTTGTATTGTCATCCACACTCGAGAGGTCGGAGAGCGAGAGTTCGTCGCAACGTCTGCATGTTTGTGGCAGAATGGTTTGGATAATCTCAGGGCAACAGTTACGCAAGAGTTGTTGGTGTTCGGAGATATTACAGGAAACTAGGAGGTTAAGATGTGGAAGAACCTGCACGATGTCCTGTTGCCTTGATGTTCAAACGGTCGACCCCAACGTCCTCTTTTGGGTCACCTGAGGACCTAGGACTAGCCTAGCAGCTTTAACGGTTGTAACTGCCACTGCAGACCTGGAGGGTTCATGAAACGTTTGTGAGGCTAGGAGGCTGGGAAAGATTGGAGAGATTGGGAGAGTAGGCCAAGTGGGCGTCCCAGTAGTTCAAGATTCTTTTTTTCAGACATTCCATGTAATTGTGGCTTATTTGCCATATATAGGGCATATCTTCCATTTGTGTGTGTGTTTGTTCCATCCGAGGGGGTTGTCCTAGTATATAACAGTCGGTGTTAACAGTGTAAACAGTCGGTCACTATTTTAGAGATGTCGGCCTGCAACCGAACTACTACTACTACTACTACTACTACTACTACTAATCATCATCATCATCATCATCATCATCCACTGTTGCAAAGAGTGGGATATACCGATTATACCCAAGTTTGTGCAACACTTTCCCGAGAAAATGCCTCAAGGGTTTTGGGAGTTGTTTTCGTGGTTTTGGAACCATGGCAGAGCGTCACATATTGGGCGAAACGATTTGCTCCCTAGAAAGGAGCGGGATTCGAAGTGCGAAACGGGACTTTTGAGAGAAAGAGTGTGGACGTTCAGAACTGAAAGAGTGTGGCCTGGGCAGCGCCATCCTGTGCAGACGCTACTGGTCATTTCGGATGTTCTGACCTTGTAGAGGACGTGTGTCCTCAAAGGTTATATACATGGTTCTACTCTGGACTCTGAATACTCTGAATGTTCCTTCAAAAAAGCAGTGTCGGAGAGGACCCAAAAGCAGCTCCACCTGTGGGCAGTCTCCACATGTGTCTCTTTGGTTCCTTCCATGTTTGTCGTTCTTCATCGAGCAGTGGGCGATCGCCGCGCCGCGCTCTCAGCAAGCTCAGCACGCGGTACGCGCTACGCACGCACCGTTCGCCTCTCGCATCACTCGTTTCTCTTCGCAATGAGCAGCGCAACCGAGCAGAAGATGAGCTGGGGCCACAAGTTCAGGAGAGGACGTGTTCGGATGTTTGCTGAGCCAGAGGCTGGTGCCAGTGCAAATATGTGCAAATATGATATTAATATGAGATGATGTTGGCTGGTATCTTCTGCTTGAGGGGACGTCACTCATTATAGTTTCACCTGAAAAAGTCTACCATCTATCAGATAGATCTTCTCCTCCTGTTTATAATAGTATACTTTGTATACCGACTCGGAAATCCTGGATCAACTTCTAGTCAAGTCCAACTGTATGTTATCAGCCCCCATCTACACCACGGGGAAGAGAGTGAGAATGCAGTTGAAACATACTGACACCCTATTCTGCCTGCTGGTTTCAGAGATGTTCATTTTCAACCCTGGGATGAGCAGACACCCACTGAGCTGACACCACGTGTTGTTTCGTTTTGGTTGACACCATAACCAGGTGCTCCATATTTCTTTTGTGGTTCAGAGATCCTTCTTTCCGACCTTGGGGATGAACCGGCTCCCCCACTGAGCTCCAGTGCGGCGTCGATGTCATAGGGCTCCACGCCCCGCACCGTGTGTCTTTTGCTTCGATCCACAGAGAGAACGGATGGCAACGGTGCAGAGTTCGTGGCGTAGCAAGCGCGAGGAGAGGCCTTGGCCTAGACCTCCAGAATCCGAGTGCAGGAGGCATCTCCTCGACCCAACCGAAATGGGGCAAACAGAAATGCATGCAGCAGGAATGAGAAAGCCTAGGGTTCCGGTCGTAGCTTCGCTTTGTTTCGGTGGGACTGGACTGGGTGGTTTGGAGGGTCCAGTCAGACCGAACCGTTTCGTTTCGGTACGACTGAAGCCCTATACCAGCAGTCACTAAGGGGTGCTGAACTTGGAGGAAGTCGGGGTGCCCAGAACATCCACGGCCCCTGCATGGGACTAAAAACCACCCAACTCCATGTGACTCCTCGTAAGGGAAAGATCGTTTCTGTGTTTCTACCCCACTCGGTCGAGGATGCCCACTGCTCGGAGACAGACGTCCAATCCACACTCCACGCGAGCGGTTGTTGGGGGAGCCGGCGGAGTGCTCACTGCGGAACCGCTCTGTGAGGAGCACCTTCAAGGGCAAGAGCAAGACTGAGGTGAGGGACGTAGGTCACAGCGGGTGCAAGACGGGAGTGGACCTCGCGCTAGGTAGGTAGGTCGGACACGTAACGAGACGGTGGCAGGTTAGTGTAGGATCTTGGAAGGATGGGCCGTTCAAGCAATCTCGGATCTTCATGGGTCAACTTCACCTAGCACCTGATTGATTGAACTAGCATGCAGGCTGCTGACTAGTTCCATACGGCTGTGTGCAGCGTTAACAACGAAAACTCTCCTCAAGCACGTGCTGCAGCAAAACGATGGAGACCGACGTGCTCCAGCACGTGCCAGCACGTGCTCCACCAAGCATTTGTAGTCAAGGACTACAGGGAGTTTGTGAGCCGTCTTTCTCTTCAAATGCCGCAGAGTGTTTGTTCATACATTGTAGATGTAAAGAGTTATATATGAGGTAACCTGCAACTGGTTGAATGTAGACATTCTGCTTGGGAAAGAGGATGAACAAAAATCAGATCCAAGACCCTCACGAGCCCCGTTGAAGAAGCGTAAAGAAAAACCTGTTTGGGGTCCTTTGCAGGTGAGCGAGTGTTAGTCCTTGTTGGGCCCAACATGTTCTGCGATCGTTACTGGAAGTGTACAAAGGAGAAGCCAGTTCATCCGCCTAAGGCGAATTCCTGTGGAGAATGAGCCCAAGAGTCCAGTGGTGAAGATGGGTGTTCCTCCTCCACCTCCTGGATCACCCTTTTTGACTTCTTCTGAGGTTCTGTGGAGGTTCTGTCACGCTTTCTCCCCCCTTTTCTTCCTCCACAGCTCACCTTCTTCATCTCACCACCAACTCCAACTCTTTTCCAGGCGAAGGCCAAGCAACAGATCAGCGAGGCCTCCACCGCCGTGCAGGACTCCTTGCCCACCTCGGAGGCGGCCCAGGCGCCGAAAGAAGGGTGGGGAGAGGCGGTGGCGTTCCAAGAGAACTTCTTGGACACCACCCTCAACGGGGCACGTCTTGAGGATGTCTTATGAGGTTGTTCTTTGAGGTCTTGACGTGGTGTTTCAGGAGGCAAACCTTGAGGACGTGGTGAAAGAAGTCAAGAAGTGTCTTTTCTGCGGCTCACTCTTTGATTGCGTTTTGTTTTGTGGGTCATTAGCTCTCAACGGCCTGATGAATATTATTCTCAAGGGTTGCTTTCAAAACACTATCTATGCAATTGAAATGACTATTCTCCATAATTGCAATGCCTTGTCAATCACCGTTCTCAATGTTTGCGCCTCCCACTAGTCTTCATGTGTATGGAGGGGAATAGGATCTCTACATCTAGAAAAAAAAAAAAAACATCTTGAAAAAGACATGGAATGAAACTGGGAGGTTCCCATCTTCCATGCTGGCACTGCTACAGAGGGAGAAGAAGGGGTGCTGACATGTGAGGTGACTGGACCTTCGGAACCGGACGGAAGGAGGACGACGATCCGTCCCAAACACACACGCCAAGAACACGAAGAAGTCTTCCCTAGGGCTCCGTTTTCGTACCTCCGAAGGTGGGACTGGGGTGGGTGCCAGGAGGGTCACACCTGAGGAGGTACGAAAACGGAGCCCAAACGGGCTTGGCTTTGTCCGGGGGGTTCGGTCCTCCTATTTTAAAACACAGCCATACATACTATGCCATACTTGGGTTTGTCCGAACTTACCTGTAACAGGACCGTAAACAAGAACATCATTATTTTTGGACAAGGCCTGCAACTGAACCATCATCATCCACTCTTACAGGTATTAGGATAGACCCCATCTTTACAGTTCAAATGGAGTCATGTCAACCAATGAAGTTATTTACTGAAGTCATGTCAACCAATCCTCACCCGGTTTCCGCCAGGAGACAGTGAACCAGGCGACCGTGACAGCACAGGAGACGGTGGAGCAGGCCGCCAAGACCACGCAGGAGACATGGCGTGGGACCGCCGCATCCGTGGAGAGGACATCGCTATTGGGAGCAAAGGACATCCGTAGCGTCCTTGTTCCTAGTGGCGCTGGCCTCAACCTAAGCTTCTTGTTCCTAGCATTGCCAGGAGCTACATTCATAGCTTCTTGCTCCCAGTAGCGATGCCCTTTGTTACTATCCCTTCTGCCCAAACCTCCTGGTTCAACGGAGTGCTTTTCTTGACTGTCTCTAGATGCTCTAGATGCTTTTAGACTTCAGGAGGCGGGAATCACTGTCTCTATCAACTGGGGGGAGAAGTTGGAGACCTTGAAAGTCTCCAGGTTGGTCCTGCTGAAGTGTCGCCTTGCTTTGCAACATGGTCGTCCACCTATGGTCGAAGCGGTCGAAGCAGCTGAAGCAACACCCCGAACAAACCAATGCCAACAACCGCACACAAAGATCCACAAAGCAAGCCGCCGGTGGACGCTTGCATAGGCTAAGGCGGCTAAAATTTCTACAGGTGGCGCTTGACTTGAGATGTTGTGTACAGGGCTTGACCTGGGGATTGACTCACATTCAATTTTTAAATGCCTTCCCTAGTTGCTGCAAACTGTATCATACTGTATCATACTGTATCTACTATCCAGTCAACCAAGGTCCAGTCTTCGCTTTCCTTCGGTGGTGAAGCATCATGTTCGTCTCATCGAAGTCGACAGGCGGCGCGACAAGCTGGTCCGTCGAAGCGCTGAAGCTCCGTGGTGCGAAATCTGTGAACGCCGCAGCTGCTGCTCCTGCTCCTGCTGGTCTGCTGGTGATGCTGGTGCCGCTGATGCGTTTTACCATGTGAGTCGCGTGAGGCAGAGGCGTTTACGCACGCACCAGGATACGACGATAGGAATCCATCGAGGTGAGAGGAACCGCTCAAATGGCCCGAAGTGATGTACTTGGGCTACAATCTTCGGTCTAGCTTAAGCTATTGGTCTTCTTCGGCTCAAAGGGGGCCCCCGTGTGGGGGTTCAACGGAGGCCCAAAGCCAACGCCTTCAGGACATGGCCGCTAGTGCCACTGCGACCGCTCGACGGACGACGGGTCCATACGGGTCGACCACACGGACCGTCGAAGTGGTGGGGGCGAGGACCCAGGAAGCCTCGGTGGAAAGGTTGGGGGGGTCCACCGCGAATCACAGCTAAGGGGCTAAGGGGCTAGACACCCCGAACGAGTCGGGTCCTGGTATGTGTCACTTTGTTTTCGTTCGGACTGCCATATTTCATAGGACTGCCGCCCCATGGAACCCCCCTGGCACCACCACCCCTGGCCGTTTTGAAGGCAGTCCTATAGCAGTCCCATGGAGTCTATATGGGATATGTGTTGGACTCCCTTGGCGTTAGCGTCGGACATGAACGAATTCATCGAGAGTCTTGAAACGTTCAGGGTTACTCTCATCTCGTTATTGCATGTTATTGCTTCCTCTTTTGTGTTGGAAGGATCCTTCTTTAAGACTATTACTTGTTATTGTTTTGTTTTGTTTTTCACCCCTGGGTTGAATTACACGTGTCATAAGGGGCAGAAGCCAGACATTATTATACGCTAAGAGTGGTTAAGAGAAAACCGTGGTTAGGTCTAAGACTCTAAAATATCACGAAAGGTAGCTTGAGCCGTCATGGACTTCTACCAGGGTTACTTATGATTGCCTGCTACCTTTCGTTCACCCCCTCATCTCTCAAGTGGTGTTCTTGGCAAAGTTAACGACCTAAAACCACCATCTTGGATGAGGTCCGCAGAGTTTGGCCACCCCTACGCCGAGCAGAGCAGTCACTGATGCGAGCACTTGTGAACACCGCACTCTGTTAGAACGGTCTTCACCGACCGGCAAGAGCGATCGGACGCGCGACGCGCGAACCCGAACCGAGTTCGGGGGCTCTCCTGGCATCGCGACTCGGTTCGCGCTCGGGTCCCGCGAAGCCGAAGCGGCGTTTCACCGACCGGGCTGGTGCTTCAGACCGACCTTCGCAGTCGATGCAATCGGGTCCGTCCCAGCGTCCCAGTGTGCCGCGGCGTGGTGGGTGGTTTGGGGTGGAATCCAACTCGTGCGACTCACAGCGAAAACGAAGGGCGCCCAGGGGTGGCGAAACGAGTGCTGTGGGATGGAGGCTCCGAACTGCCGTTTTGGCGCCCAGTGGACGATAGACGGTAGCTAAGAAAGGGCCACCCCAACACATTGTCTCAGATCTGGTGACCTGGTGTGTTCCTTTATACCGTGCCTTCGTTTCTCGAACTGAACTTCAAAGCGTTGGTTCCGACATGCTTACACTTGGACCATGGTCGACTCTTTCTACCTTGAGAGAGGGGCCGCAGCAAAGCGGCCTTGCTGCTATGGTCCCCATATGCCATTGCACGTTGAGGAGATGGCGGCCAGTGCCAGTGCCACTGCTCAGGAGTGGGTGGTGGAAGGATGGGTACCCATTTGCGCATGGATATCCAGACTCTACGTGTTTTTGCGCATAGAGTTGAACAACATGGAAAGGGCAAAATAGGTCTACAAGACAGTTGCACGCCCTGGCGATCTTTGCAAGAAACATCGTTCTTCGTTGAACTCCAAGACGCAGACCTATGATAGCGTCGACCTCTGAGTCTAAGCAGTCCTATGATCGCTCCTACCACACACATCCATCCCGGTGATCGTTCGTTGAACGTGACCGGCGCCGACGCTCGGCGATCTCCAGAGCCGACCGGGTGGTGGCCGGAGTCCCGCAGCGGTCAGGAAAGCGCCACCAACGCCGCTGCCGCAGTGCAGGAGTTGTGCAGTGTTTACCGTGTTGCGCAGCCGCAGAGGTGCAGAGGTGCAGAGGTGTGACAGAGTGATGGCTGGTTTTTGGTTCTTGGAATGTTCATACTCCAGGAGTCACATGGACTTGGGTGGTTTTGAAACCGTCCCATCCAGGGGCCGTGGATGTGACATGGACACCCCGACTTCGACTATAGGCCGTCTTGTGACTGCTGTTCATACTGCTTTTCTTTGGATTTTTGTGTGCATCAATGCTCTTTGGTTTGGATATCGATGAAACCGGGCCTCTGTGTGACTCAGGTTTTCTCCAGGTGGCGTCTCGGGACCAGGGCAAGACTTCCGGACGACGCCCACACGACTTCCGGAAAGACCATGGAAAAAAACAATAGGAAGAACCTGGTTTTTGTAGTCCCTGGGAGTCAAAGACTATACAAAGAATGGTCTTTAGGTGACCCGAAAAGGAAGATCCTTTATATACATCAGTCGGTCAAACTATAGTCTTTGGACCTGGTTTTTGTAATGTAAAATCCTTAGTTGATTCGGGTTGGAAGCCAATTAAATTCATGATGGGCCAGGAAGCCGAACGGGCAAGGAGACGTTTCCCCATGTTGAGTTGCAGTGATCTTGAAGTCATGGTAGATGGGCACTCCCCTTAAAAACCCTGGGTATGTTAGATTGTCCCTTCTGGCATGGGCGCTTGGTGTGGGCATCAACCATGGGCCAAGTGTGGGCATGCGTGTGCCTCAGCAGTTTATGTTTGGTAAGTTACACAAACTGACCTGTTAGCACTCTCAAACACCCATCTTGCAATCCCGATGCTTGTGACCACGACATACACCTCGAAGGAAGAGAATCCAGGCACCTGCCTAGAAGCACTCTTTGGGACTGACACCTCTACGGAAATAAGGAGACATTTGGGGATGGGTCAAAACCCGGAGCCCAACACCACGTAGCTTGACCTTCTGGGTAGGTCAACCGAAATATCCTGGTTTTGACCCACTGACATTTCAAAAGTTTAGTGAAGAGTTCCGATGTGGTCAAATGAAGATTGTCTTTCTTTGTCATGTGTGGTGACCCAGTGTCGGTTGAAGCTGTGTTGAGGACACGAACTCGGGAACCACTATCTAAGTGAATTGGTCACGACCTGGTCACTAAATAGTATTTACAATATGCAGCATGCACACCCCGGCCACAGATCGCTTGAGGATCCTCTTGAAACCACCGCGGTCTTGCCGACCCTCGCCGCCCTCCGTAGGACGTGGCCAGCGACACCGCCGCCGCGGCGCAGGACCGCGGCGGAAACGCCTGGTGGACGGTCTTTGAGGATTGCCACCGTCTGGAAGCAGCGAAAAACGCCTGGTCTTCCAACAGAGGTTAAGTGACCTTATGACCCTACCTACAGGGGTACCTATAGGATAGTCTATAGGGTTCTTCAACCTTTGCTGGTTTTCCGGATGTGTTTTTTGAGGGGGGGATGCGCTGGCAATGCTTGGGAAGGCTGTTGGTCTGCGGATGTCTTTTTGAGGGAATGCATTGAGTACATGCATTGTTCGGGATTTGATGCGTTGGTTTATCCTTGGGGGTGCTGTCAGAAGTTGTGGAGGAGAAAAACACCTCCTTCGAGTGTTGGGAATTCGATTGGGGTGAAAGTGACGCATGACTGTTTATTTTGGTCTGTTGAGTGTATAATTGTATAACCATAGGGTCCAGGTACCTCCTGCGGATGGTCCTCTCCCTCTCTTCTGCTTTCCCGCGCTCGGCCGCAGCGCCTTGGAGGTGAGTTTGTACGAAACCAGAGAATGGTCGTTGCCTGTGGGGGGGCCAGTTCGGACATCCCAGATGGCTGGATGGTCCTGGACCCTTAGAGATAAGTCATACATGATCTATACCTGGACCTTCCAACTATGCAAAATGTTTCCCAGACACTCCATGGGACTGCCATATATGCCGCCCCATTGACCCCCAGTCAACCACCCCAACTGATCGGCAGTCCTATAGCAGTCCCATCGAGTGTCTGGGTTTGCCTTTGGCTGAAATGGTGCATCGTCGGAATATCCAGGTCTTCCGCTTGACGGATCACGTGTTGAACGCCAAGTACCGCCACACCGATCATGGCAGCAGGTGGCCGCAGAGGTTGCTCAGAAGGCTGAGGAGGCGGAATCGGTCCGCAGGGAGGGGGGGGCATTCTTTGCGAGGACGAGATGGAGCGTGGTTCTTCGGCAGGTCGAATCGGTTGAGGCGGGAGGTTTTTGGTGTGTTATTATTTTCGGTGCAAGGAAGTGATGGAAGTGAGTCGGGTGAGAAGAGCCAACGCCATTTTCCAGGGAGAATGCGAACAAGGCCCATAGGCTTCACTCCTTTGGATGATGGAGGGCAGTCAGATTTGCCGTGTGAGCACGTGAAGGTGCAAGTCCCAGGGTGTGACGCTGAAAGTCCGACCTGCAAAGATATCAGGATGCACAGGCAATGTTGGCGATGTTGGCCTTGTCGGGCTTCAGCGGCCGTGTGTATAAGTAGTTTGATGCTCACAGAAGAGTCACCGATCGATGTCCAGCGCTGGGACTTCAAGGAGGAAGCCACTTTCGCTCCACCCCCCCGCCACAAGGGCCACGCAGACGGAGAGCGATGTGGTGCAAAACAACCACTCCTCAGTCTTTGGGCCACGACGTGGTAGGCGGGCCACGACGTGGTAGGCCAAGTAGCTTTTCGTGGTGCCAACGGCGACGCCTCACTGTACCCAAAGAAACGGCATGTACACTTCTGACTGCCTTGGTGCTGCCAAACCATGTTCTTCAATCTGCTCTGCATTGGCTTTGCATGAAGCCATGGGCTTCCCAACGGCCGTGGCCGTGTCTTGGACGCCTAGTGATTTGCGTCACTGACGGCGTGGGCACGGCCAGTGTCAGGTTCTGCAAAGGCCATAGCCCAATTTCCATGGCGGTGCCTGTGGCCTAAAGTAGACTCTTGATTCATAAACCCTCCCAATTGAAGTCGAAAATCCTCTTCTGCCTGGGGGGGAGTTATGGTCCTCAAGAGTCTACATTACGCTCCTCTACTGCCTTTACCACCAACAGTTACGCTTTTGCACGTCACCATGGGCCTCCGCCTACTCCTCCAGTCAGACGCCGGAGGCCCATCCGGAGACCGTCGTTTCCTACGACGAAGCGTTCTACGACGTTTCTGAACTAAGCTTTCCCTACAAGTCTGTGTGATCTCATTTTACGGGAGATGGTCATACAACACCAATACATAAGGAGGTCAAGTCGACCAGGTTAAGACCTGGGTCAGACTGGACTTTGTAGGGTTTAGTTTGCATAGCCTTAGGTTGTGGTTCTTTCATGTGCTTTAGTTTGCCCACTCTTGGCATGATGCCGACAGCGTTGAGACTACGAACATGGCTCAGCATGTGGGCATCCTTGCAGAATCTCGAGTCCCACCTTCCTTGCCTTTGGAATCTGTGGTGGAAGTAGCATGCTGAAATGTCACGAAGCTTGGCCGCCCACCCTTTCTGCTCAACAGGCCGCTCTTTGCCAAAAGCTTTCACAACACAAGGATTCAACATAATATGTTTCGTACACAGCATGTCCGCGATCTCCTCACAACCACATTGGTGGCTGCGAAGTCTGCAAAGACCGCTGCGGCGCTGGGGGCGTCTACCTAGACGCCCCCCTGCGTCTATCGCCAGAGAGGGTGCGATCCTTGTCAATGGCCCGAAGGCCTGAATACTTGGACGTACAATCTGGCGGAATGCTCCTTCGAAGCGGACCAGCAATGGGTCCCAAGGGTCAGCGCTCCGCTCGACCAAGAGAAAGAATGCGGCGCTTCCTGACGATGAGTCCAAGAAGCAGCTGAGGGATGCTGACAACCATTCCACTGCCAACACGTTTTCTGAGTAAGACGGCGCAACCCCCATGATGTCTTGAACAGATGGGCGGGGGCATTTATGTAAAAAAACAAACAACAAACAACATTGGATACCTAAGCCACCATCTCAGTCTCTCAATCCATACCCCTCAGAACCTCAGAACTCATCCATACTCATCCTAACTCAAAGCCCTTTGTTGCTCAGACCGCAACCGCTCGAGACACAACCGGTCCTTCCGCGGTCGCTCTGTCTGCCAGGTGACCGCAGACAGCGAGGACAAGGAGAGAGCTGGAGCTGTTTGGTTTGACCATTTGTTCAGAAGATTTTCGATGTTCAACGGAATTCTCCATGCAACCCTTTGGGCTGAAGACATCCATCATGTAAGAGACATAGGGAAGTTGACCCTTTTTTGGGGGGGGGGGGGGTGATAAGGGGGGCGCGGAGGTGATAAGTGTTGCTCTCGTTTTTGTTGCACGGTTGGGTTAACACATTGATTCATTCCCAGACACGACCCATGGGACTGCCAGCCCTATGGCCGATTAGGCCAGGGGTGGTTGATTTCAGGAGTCCATGTATGGAGCATATGCCAGCCCCATGTGTCTGGGACCTGGGATAGGTCATCTTAAAGATGGTGGAAGACCAATGAGCTCAATATACCCCGCCCTGTTTGGGGTTGAAGAAGCGAACTTGTTCGATCGGCATTGATCCGGACTGAGAGAGCGTCGTGTTTACCCGATGGCATTTAGGCGCCTCAAGCCTTAGGTTACGCATCCGCCTCGGTGGAAAACGGCTGACGGCAGCGACTGCTCGCTGCTTTGTTTCAGTGGCACCGGAGCTATCTGGTTGGTTGGGGCCTGTCGTTTTGCGCTGCTCTCCGCTTCGCTTGGCTTGGTTGGTCTTTTGCACGGACAAGGCCTTTGTTCTTGAGTTTGTGCCGGGTGCACCAGGCGGTTCACTCGGTGACGGTCGGGGACAGGGCGAATAAGTTCTTCCTGGGTTCTTTGGCCCCTTGATCCTTTTGAAAGGCACGCGCCTTGTTCGATAGGTTCGAGGAAAAGGAGTTCGAGAAGAGGAATTTGACTTTTTGCTGAAGCTTTCACCTGTTTCATCGCCTTCCTGAGGAAGGCGTCTTCTTTTGAGGCACCATGTCGGATGAGAAGGACGCGAATGGAGGTGCTTGGAGTCGCGTCCCTACCTGGGACGGAAGTCCTCAAACATGGAGGACGTTTCGTCGAGAGATGTCATGGTGGTTGGCTGGGCTCGATATCCAGTCGACCAAGAAATACAATTTGGCCGCAAGATGGTTGCTTCGCCAAAGCGGCATGGTGAAGCAGAGAGGAGAAGAATTTGATCCAAGCGAATTGGAGTACCAGAAAGAGGTCAAGTTGCCGGATCCCACTACCGGCGACGATGTGGTGGTGACGCCTGAGGACCCGCTCAGTGGCATCAACAAGCTTTTGGCTGCGCTCGAATCGATGACCGGGAGGACATCCCTAGACAAGAGAGGTGAATTGAGGAATGTCTTTTACCTGGAGCTCAAGCGTCGATCCGGCGAACGGATCTCGGAGTTCGCCACTCGGTTCAGGTCCTTGGTTTCTGAACTTCGAGCTGAAGGTGTGGTCATAGCAGATGGCGAGTTGGGCTGGTGGTTCAAGCATAAGTTGGGTTTGGATGCCATCCGCACCCAACTCCTTGAGACGGCACTTGGTGGAGCTGAAGATTACCCAACAATAGAACGTGAAGTTCTGAGGCTTTTCAAGGACTTGCATGTTGCTGACCCGCTTCACCGGAAGTCAGATGGAGAAAGAGCTCCCTTGCTTCAGAAGTTTCTCAACCAGCAAGGTCCCTCGTCTAGCCGCCCTTCGTCGTACGCCCCCTCTATGGCCAGTTCTGCACCTAGGTCCTTCAGGTCAGGTTCGTCGACAACCTCGTCAAGTCGGTTTACCTCGTACCGTCGTCCTGCTCCGGCCAAACAGGCCATGGTGTCGGAGGTGGATGATGAGAATGACGAGCTCCCTCATGAGCAAGAAGAAGATGAACCTGAAGGTCAGTCCCTGGAGGAAGTCCTCCAAACAGAGGCTGAGGTGCTGGCGGCCGAGTTGGAGGAGGCCGCAGCCAGCGGTCTTGACCAAGAGACCCTTCAAGAAGTTGAAGATAGTGTTGAAGCAGCTGCTGAGGCCTTTTTGACCATGAAAGAGGCCAGGTCCAAGTTGCAAGAAGTTCGACGTGATCGTGGATATGGCAAGCCATCGCCTTCCAGCACTTCCAACGCAGGCAAGGTGAACTTGAAAAAGCAATCGGACAAACACCCGTGTTTCGATTGCGGGCTTCCTGGACACTGGGCTGGAGATTCTGAATGTCAAAAGCCAGGTCAGCAGCTTGGGAGGAAGAAGTCAAAGTCTCCCCAGAAGCAAGTCAAGGTGACCGAAGCGCTGAACACTGAACATGGTGCTCCAGCTTCGGATGATGGTCATGAAGTCTTGATGACTTTTCGAGACGCGAAGCCTCTTGCAGAAGGTTTCGAGATGGCCTTGGACATGTCTCACAAGCCCAAAGAGGTCAACGCCTTCAGCGTGCTCTCGACCGACAAAAGGCTGGTTGGTGCTTTGGACAGTGCTTGCAATAGAACATGTACCGGGCCGGAATGGTTGTCAAGCTTTTTGAAACGACTTCGTGCAACTGCCCCCAAAGAAGTGATCGACCTCGTGAAGGTTGAAGATGAGAAAGAGACATTTCGTTTTGGCAACGGTGGAACCCAGATCAGCACCCAGCGCTGGCGGCTTCCGACGGTGATTGGAGGGGTCACTTTGTGTTTTTGGACATCGGTGGTTCAGGTTCCTTCACTTGGACTCCTCTTGGGCCGGGACTTTTTGGAAGCGGTTGGGGCGGTGATGAGTTTTTCACGAAAGGTTCTGCACTGTGAGTTGCTCGATGGCAAGCCCATTCATCTGAACCAGCTGGCTGCAGGCCATTACTGCCTTGGACTCCTTCCTGGTCAATGGGCAGGTCTGGAACCTCAGAGATGGAGAAGGTTGGGTTTGGATGGAGTCATTGAACTTCAGTTGAGCACTCCGCAGTGGTTGCAGAAACGGCTGAAACGTGGTTCAACTTCGTTTTTGAAGGCAGAGCATGATGGTCATGATCATTTTTTGACTGAGAATAGCATGAGAGTGGGTCATCTTGTTTGCTCCGTTTTGTCAAGCTCCCCTTCTTTGGCTCCTTCGGTTCAAGCGCCTATGTCTCGTTCCTCGGAACGAGTTGTGACACGGACAACATCTCCTACACGAAGATCGAGCACTACGACGAAGGAGCATGCCAGTGAGCGAAGCCTTCAGCCAAATCGATCTGAGATGGCGGCGGATGATTCTCCGCATGCGAGAAAGGTTTCAATGGTCAGCCAAAGGCGTCCTGCTCTGGCTATTGCCAAGATCCTCTTTGCGCTATCTGCCTTTGCCATACCCAGCTACCTCAACGCTGGACAAGTGGGAAGCTCAGTGCCGTGTGCAAGTGATGGAAGGAATTGTCTCAAAGCGGCATACGGCCAAAGCTCAAAACAGCTTCACCTACGAGAACCTTGGCGACTGCATTCACCTGAGGAACCGGATGGGATTGGACACAGCCTTTTGCGAGGATCCGGTGTTGCAGGGCTTCAAATTGGCCAAATCGGCCAAAGGTCTCTCTCAAAGGGTGAAGTCGGCCGCTCTGGCCGAGGCAAAGCAGAAAGCTCAGGAGGCAGAACATCGGGGAGAACAAGACGAACTTGCTCGAGCCTTGATTGGGCCTCGCGGCGGACTCCCTACCTTGAGAAAGGATCTGATCAGGTTGGCTGCACTGCTGAACGTCGAGATTCAGCCCACCGACAATGTCGAACAGATCAAGGAGAAGGTGAAACCCATGGTGGCCTTACTCAAGGAGACAAAGACTGCGGCAAAGGCCAAACCTCAAGGCAAGACAGAGAAAAGGTCTCTCGTTCCGCAAGGAGCGACAAGCAGCGGGTCGTCCTCCAGACCTCCTCCGGCGACAGTTCCATGGTCGCAGGTGCAAGAGATGCAAGGCAAGTTCCAGTCCGCACTGGACAATATGGCTTTGGAGCTTCAAGAACTTCGCGCCGGTCGCATTCCTCAACAGCCGGTCGACCTGACAAGCCTGATGACAGAGCCCAGTTTGATGACCGACGAGGACATGATGCACATGAGGAACCCCATGGGATACGGTCCAAGTCAGGGCCGAGACGTGAGCATGGAGGAGGCTTACCGGACCGATCCAGAGTTTCGCCAGGAGGTGAACATGAGCTTGGAACAAGATTGGGAGGCCAAATTGGCCGCACACTACGGGGAGGATTACTACCTCTTGACTCAGGAAGAGATGGAAGCGGCTCTGGATCCCTGAACCGCTATGTGATCCACCAACAGCTCAAAAAGGGCCAAGCTCAGCTGATTGTTCAGGCTTGGAATCAACATGAACAAGATCGCCGTCGTGTGTCCCAAGCTCCCAAGAAGATCAAAGAGTTGCTTGAGACTGAGTACTATGAGGAGATGAAGAGCTTTCTTGACGACGAGATCTTTGTCCAACCGATTGACTTGAACTTCAAGGTCAATGAGACCCTAATGAACGACAAAGTGCCTTCGAATGACCAGCCCCTTGTGACCGAGATTTACACGAGTGCGAGAAACGTGATGCAGGAAGCAAAACGTCGTGGTCACAAAGTGGGGACATCTATGAGCTTGGACAATGGTTGGAATTTCCAGCTTCGTCGTCATCGAGAAGCTGCCATTGAAAAAGTGAAGACGGAGAAACCCTTTTGTGTGGTACTGGCGTTTCCGTGTGGGCCCTTCAGTCCACTCCAGTTCCTGAACAAGAAGGGACACCGCTCCTGGCCTGCTCGTCTTCATGCAGGCCGCATTCTGATGAAATTTGCCTTGGAGATCGCCCGCATTCAAATGAGCGAAGGACGACACTGCATCCTCGAGAACCCTAAGCCATCCTTGGCTTGGAGTGAACCCGAAATGAAGAGGTTTTTTTTGGAGGAGGAAAATGTTTTTCAAGCTGTCTTTGATCAGTGCCGTTTTGGCCTTCGGAGTGTCTCAGGAGAGCTGCATAAGAAGCCGACCCAGGTGGTGAGTTCTTCTTCGTGCGTTACAAGTATGCTGGATGGGGTGTGTTGCATGCGTGACCATTCCCACATGCCGGTTCTTGGAGGTTCGAGAATCACAGCTCCTGCTGGACTGTATCCTCGGGCCTTGGCTCGCACTTTGGTTCGCGGACTGGAAGCCCAGTTCGA